TGCTCATCCACGTCGACCTCGTCGAAGACTAGACACCGCTGTCCCGCGCTCCTCCTCCTCCCCGCAGAGCGGCCTTCCATCATCAGAGTCCGAGAGCGACACCAGGCCGTTCCCTGCAACGTACCCTGGCACCTGGGTGATGAAGATCGAAGATGGCCAGGCCCCCGACCAGCATGGCCGCGCGCAGCGCCCCGGGCCTGCCGTGGCCAACATTGGCTGTCGCGGCATGTCTCTCGGCGGCCCTAGATGCAGCCACGACGGGGACGATGGAGGGGGCCGGCGCTCCTGGAAAGACACCCTCCTGGGGCGCGGGCGTCCCTCCCATGAAGCTCCTGTAGTGGCGCCCCCCCCCAGCAACGCCATCAACGCCAGTGCAGCCGCACGCCCACCAGCCGGCAGGGCCAGCACCACCACCGTCTCAGCTACTCCAAGGACAAGCAAGCTCCGTCCGCGCGAGCCCGGACCCCAACCCGCTCCCAAACAGAAGCTGCACCCAGGCGCGCCTCCCCAGACCCGGTGGTTGCTTTCTTTGAAGACGCAGCAACGCTGGCTCCCCCTCCCCCTACATCCCTTGCTGCGACAAATGATGTCGACGTTGCTGCCGCGGAGGCGACAACCGAGCCTCTCTGCTTCCCCGACAACGACAACTGCAACTCCAAGACTGCTGCTGCCCTCTCTTCCCAAGCCTGTCGTGCCCCTGCCCCATCCACCACTTCTGTTGGTGTGTAGGTGGGCGCGGTCACGCAGAGGGTTCAGCAGATGGACATCAATGACCAAGACGGTGTCGCGATCCGTCGCCGTCTCTTCACCGATGTTCCGGCGCCCATTCTGCCCCCTCCACGCCCGTCTGCTCCGAGGAAGACGCGGACTGCATCAGCTCCAGTGCGGCAGAGCGCCCGCCAGGCCAACAACCGCTCAGAGGTGCCGGTGACGCACCGTGCAATGCTATGCATCATCCGCGAGCTCGGGCTTCTGGGGCCAAACGACAAGATGACACCAAAGGCGGCCGAAACCCTAATCAAGAAGTTCGACGAGCCTCTCACCTAAGATGACATCAACGGCCTGGCAAATCTCACGTGCCAGGATCCCGTAGCTCTTCGCATCGCTGCCGGCCTAGCCGGCCCTGATGGAGCTCCCCTTGGGGAGGCGGCTTAGATTATGTTACCTAGATGTAGTTGCTCCCTCCAGAGGCGGTCGGTCCTGGACTGGCTCAAGTTAGGTTTCATGAATAGTTTCAGGATAGAGGTTCAGTTCTCATGTCGATGGAACTTGGGGTCTATTGGTGGCCGTCGACATGCCACGGATGTAGCTGAAGTGTATCTGTTCGTCATCATCATTAGTATTTCTAGTCTCTGGAGCAAACTCAAGTGTCCTAATGAGTAACATCAATTGTGCGATCATGTCCTTGAATGTCCGGGGACTGAACTCAGTGGCAAGGCGGGAAACAGTTAGAGAGGTAGGAGCTGCACAGCGACTCGCCATCCTCTGCATCCAGGAAACTAAAATAGAAACATGGTCTCAGGCCATGGTTAGTGACATTGGCGGTAGTTACTTCAAAGATTGTGTAGTATTGCCGGCGATTGGCTCCAGGGGCGGAGTTGCAATCTTCTGGAACCGGGACCTTGTGTCCGTCTGCTCCCAGGTAGTTGGTCAATTCCCGATCACAGCCACTGTCACTCTAGTTAGCTCGGCAACTAGTTTCGTCCTCACATCAGTATACGGCCCCTCCGACGGCACCAACAGAGATGCCTTCTTCGCTGAATTAGCTAGCACAGCACCTCCAGTAGGCACTCCATGGCTAGTTAACGAAGACTTCAATGTCATCTATGAGGCGAGAGACAAGAACAACCACAACTTAAACAGAAGGTTGATGAGTAGATTTAGATCAGCTTTAGACTCGGCGGCTCTCAAAGAAATCAAATGTAAAAATAGGAGGTTCACCTGGAGTAACAAACGGGAATCGCCCACGTTAGTTAGCATCGACAAATTCTTTGCTAACCTAGAATGGGAAGCCCTTTTTCCATCCTTCATGCTCGTCGCTGCGTCCACAACCTGCTCGGACCACTGCCCCCTCATCCTTGCTAGCACCACTGCCCCTCCTCGACGAGCGAGATTCCGTTTTGAAAGCTTCTGGGTCAGTTTTCCTCACTTCATAGAAACGGTGCAGCGGACATGGCAACGCCCTGCCACGCAAACCTGCGCCTTCAGCAGAATCAAAACAAGACTCGAGTGGGTGGCCAAAGACCTGAAGATTTGGAGCGGCAGCTTATTCAGTGATGCGAAGATGCAGTTCCACATTGCTTCAGAGTTAATCCTGAGATTCGATGTGGCCATGGAAAAGCGCCAACTGTCCCCGGCTGAGTTCAACCTGAGGAAGCTTCTGAAATAGAGGATTATTGGTCTTGCGGCCGTCGAGCGAGCGCGTCGTCGCCAAGCTTCTCGGATAACATGGCTCAAGGCCGGAGACGCAACCACTGCTTTCTTCACTGCAAAGGCCTGCTCAAGGAGGAGAAAAAAATTCATTTACTCTATGCGATCTGAAGATCATGTGGCGATCGAGCATGACGAGAAGGCCGCCACCATTTATGAGCATTTCAATAAGATCATGGGAGCTGCTGAACCCAGAAAATGCACCGTTAACTGGGATGTGTTGAACCTGCCAACAATCAGAGCTGATGGTCTTGATGCTCCTTTCACTGAAGCGGAAGTTTGGAGAGCAATCATTGAATCCCCGGCAGAAAAAACTCCAGGGCCCGACGGTTTCAACGGGCAATTCTTCAGAAGCTGCTGGGACATCATAAAAGATGAGGTGATGGCAATGTTCAGCCAGTTCCACAGCCTATCCGGGGCAAACTTCGACAAAATCAACTCTGCTTTTGTGGCCTTGCTTCCTAAGAAAGACGGAGCTGAATCCGTGGGAGATTTTCGGCCAATAAGTCTCATCAACTCAATTGCTAAGCTCATCACCAAAGTGCTCTCGATAAGATT